GGTGAATATGAAGGGGAAGTAAGAATGATTGGGAAATGATCGCTGTCATGTAAGTCCGGAAGAACAGACCAAGTGAAGTCTAATGCGGCGGAGGAAGAGCAGACTGAGAGATCGATGCAAGATAGAGTGAGTCCGAGGATCAAAATGGGTGTGAGTACCTGTATTTAAAACATGGAGGGGGTGGGTGGCAAGAAAAGCCTCTAACTGAATGCCACGGGAATCACAGCGAGACCCCCCCAGAGGAAATGGTGGGCATTAAAATCACCTAGTAACAGAATCGGTGGTGGTAATGACAAAACAAGAAAGGCAATATCCGGAATAGATAATGCCCAAGGAGAGAGAGATAAAGAACAGAGCATATACCACCTATGCAAGTGGATACGGGCTGCTGTGTAATGCAGCGAAGTACGAACAAATAGCGGATGGTACGGAATATCAGTGCGTAGACGAAGGGCACTTTCATTAAAGGTCCCATCAGGAAAAGGATCTGAAGAATACAATAAATTATAGCCTGAGATGGGAGAGATAACAGCAGAGTGTAATTTTGGTTCCTGTAAACAAACACCAACAGGGGAAAACTGGGAGAGTAACATCTGATGCTCACCCCGATTACCCCTGAGGCCGCGTATATTCCACTGTAAATAGGCCATGATTGGCAATGATAAAGATACCTGAAATCCGCAGGTAAGGGTTCCTACGGACTAGAGGGGTTAGAAAAGTCCACATGCGGAGGCAGTGGAAAGCGTTCAAGCAGCGAAGGAATGGTGCGCTGTGAAGAAAGGAGTTGCACAGATGGAGTAGAGGAGAGAGAAGGAGCGGAGGGTGGATCAGTGTCCATTGATGGTTTGGTCTCTGCAATATATTCAGAGATTGCTTCAAGTGTTTCAGAATTCAGAGACGTCGTATGGGAGACAATATTGGAAATGGTAGGGGGAGGATGAGTAAAGATTGGAACTGTAATGGACTGTACCAAGGTAGAGGGGGGGGCGAAAGGGTGGAGGGAACTGGAGAAGCGGGGAAAGGGGGACAGAAGAGGCAGAAACCTGGGAGGTGGCAGAAGAGGAAGAAACTTGGGAGGGAACAGGGGAGGAAGGTACAGTACGAGGAGGAGGGTGAACCTCTACACTTGTAACAGAGCCAGTGAGAGGGGGAGAACCAGGTACAGAGACAGGGAAGGGAAAATAAGGAGGTGGAAGATGGGTAGGAGGTGTTAACGGACCTTTTTTTGACTTTTGAGAAGTAGAGGGACGATTGGGAGGAGGTGTCATATGAGATCTCGTCACTACTGAGGCTTGTGAGAGAGAACACGAAGAAGCGAGATCAGACTGAGACGTTGAAGTAGGGACGTCTGAGCCGAGGACAGCAAAAGAATTAGCTACAGGAGTGACTATGGGAGAGGTAACCACAGAGGTGGGTGCAGAAGATGGGATACCAGAAGTGGGGGGACGTTTTGAAACACGGGAATAAAAAAACATGAGGTAGTCTCCCTTGGAGGCGGAGATGAGAAACTGCCATGGCATAAGGGAGACCTTCTGCCTCTTTGAGGTAACGGGTTTCCCGCTCGTTTAAGTAGACTTGACAACGGCGAGAGTACGAAGGGTGAGCCTCATGACAATTAAGGCAAGAGGGAGGTCGATTGCAAGATGTATTAGAATGGTCATCGGCACCACAGACTGGGCATTCGGCGATAGATCTGCAATATTTTGCTGGATGGCCAAATCGCCAGCAATTTCTACACTGTTGCGGTGTAGGGATCACCTTTCGAACTTGTAACCGATGTCCTGCTACATAAACTGAGGATGGGAGTTCACGGCTGTCAAAAGTTAAACGAGCCACATTGCTAGGGTATCGTCTCCGCCCGCGGGCAGGAAGAACGTAAGTGTCTACCTTGAGGATTTGGAGATCTTGGAGTTCCAGCTGTTCAAGAATGTCAGTGCCACATGTCTGGAAATTTGGTTGAACTATGGTATGGCGCAGAATGACGGTACCACTACAAGAATTGAGGGAATGATGCTTTTCAATAGTTCCAGGAACAGTATCGATATGGGAAAGACGAGAAAGCTCATGAGCCTGGGTAGCATTCTGTATGGTGACGATGCGCGTACCGCTCTTAAGAGCATGAAAAGAAATATCTTTACCAACATAGCGTAGGAGTGCCTTGCCAATACTGTGGTCAGAAAGATAGGCAGTAGAGGAAGTCGGTCGTAAAGTGAAGAATTTAGTCCATTGTGCAGTCTGAAACCGAGCGTGGAAAGGTAGTGAAGGACGTGTCGATCTTTTCTGAGAAGAACGAGAAGGTGGAGAAATATCATCAGCAGGTAATTGTCGTTGGCGTTTAGGCGTGGGACCAGAGTTGGTCCGACATGGAACAGGCCGGCGATTCGAAAATTGCCGCACTGTAGAGGGAGAGGCCGGAAGCATAGTCAGAGGAGAGCGAAGGTCAGATAAATCGAAGGAGTCAGTCGAGGCCTCAGTACCTGAAGTGGGTGAGGAAACAGCACTGGCAAGAGGTACAGAGGCATGAGGAGTGTCCGAAGAGTGGTCCAAAGACGAGGTGGGGTCAGAACGGGGTGCGGTATCAAGAAGGGCCCGAGGGTAGCAGGTTCATGGACTAGGGCCCATGGTTAGGTTACTTCTTTCTTTTTGTTTTTAAGAAAAAAAAAAAGAAAGAAAAGAAAATAAAAATAAAAAAAAAGAATAAAAAAAAGGGGGGACCGGGGAGGGATAGTTCCTAGGAGGAATGAAAGGGCCAGAAATCTCCCTCCGCGCCCAAAAGGACCTCAGCACCGCAAGTAGCGCAGATGGGAGCATGGAACCCGTGCCATACCCTACCCATCATGCCAGTAAACCGGCAATCCGGGATAGCAACCTCACATCTGCCGAGCTACCTCGGTGGACAAAAGAGAGGGCGGCCGGAAATCCGCCACAAAGCATACCTCCTTCGGCCACCACCCCCGGAATCCGAAAGGTGGCTTCCAGAGATACACCCGTCGCCCGAGAGACACCCAAAGCCACCCTCCAGGATACCGGAGAGGGATCAGGACATCCCCAGGCAATCCAGATTCCACGGCAAACTACGCCACTGCCAAGAACCTCAACGGAATGGGATGGACCCCGGTACCCTTTCCCCTACCTAGGAACTAGCGTGCCTGTGGGAAAGAAAAAAAAAAAACAAAGGCCAAAAAGGGAGGGGTGGGGAGGAGGAGGAAAGGAAAAAGGGGAGGATGGGATAGGGAACGGGGGATTGGGGGGTAATTAGGTTTGGTCTGAGGAAGTAGACCGACAGGTCTAATTCCTCAGACCAAGAGCCTCTTCACCATGCCAAGGAGCCCCCCTTGAAGAGGTCCAGAATGAGCAATACAGACATTCCTGGTTCTAAAATAACACTTTCTGTGTTCATCAGTCACTTCTCCAGGCCCCTCTGATATTACTCTTGCTTTCTATTTTTAATTTTTATTCAAACAAAAAGTAGAAGATTTACTGTTATGCAGACTATTGCAAAATTGTAATAATTGTATGAATAACATCAATCCATTCATGACTGCATATTAGAATGGCCAGTTGGACATTTACATCATTTGTTTACTCTTGAACATCGGCAAAAATTAAACATTTCTCCTACTTTGATCTCCATTTCAAGGTCCTTTTCATAGTAAAACCAATCAAAATCACCTCTATTTCTATAATATGTTTTCTATTCTATCAAATGTGACTACGAAAATGAGAATATAACCATAAAAACTATATGAAAATATGCCTCAAAGTCAGCGTTTTAATCCAAAAACACGGTCGGAGTTTTTTTTTCTTATTATGCACTGTGTGCTGCAGGATTTTTTTTATATGGTGCCCACTAACCACATAGACCCATTCTCTCACCTGTGGGCCTACCAGCTTTCTCCTGCTTGATTTGAAGCCGCTAGAATTTTTGAGTGTATTTTTTTTTTTTATTATTATACGTCAAATAGTACAGTTGGCTCATAAGACGTTATATTACTACACAACAGTTTCAAAGGGTTTTAAAACTGACATGATGGCAAAATTCCTCTTCACATGACCTGTGCCACATCAGTGAACAAGTGGGTTTTTCTATGACAGATTTATATTTTCTTAATATATCTTCCATGACAGCACTGCAAGTCTGATGGTGAAATACCATTTTATTGCACTTAAAACAAGTGCAGTATTGCGTGAATTCAAGTGGGGAAGTACTAAATCCTTAGGGCTGTTGCTCCAATCCTTCTATCAAGAGCCACTTCAACGCTCAAGGTTCTATCTCCCTTGACGGAACAGCTTGTAAGTTGTGTGTTGGGCAGTTTACATATTCACGAACCAAACCCTGGATCTCTGTTTATTTATTTTTTATGACCTTTTGAAATTGACTAAATGCTCCATGATGATCACACACTATAGCATTGGGAAAATGTCTTTACTCATTCACCTGCTTTTCGAGTGAAAGTTTCCCTGGGTTCCCTATCTCTTGCTCCTTAGGGGGGAAAAATACTAAAAAAAACATTTCTGACCTTCAAGGGAGGGAGGTGCTTTGATGCTGTAGATTTCTACCAGAACCTGATCAGTGCTTTTTGCCTCATTGTGTGTTTGCACTTAGTTTTTGATGATATGGTGATAATCATAAAGACTGAAACTTATCCTTCCTTGCTCTGTCCACCTAATTATCTTCAATTCCTCAGGTGCTTTTTAGACTGCTACATTTTGAAAGCTTTCTGTATTATAATATTTATATTATATTCTTGGGGTAAGGTGCCATAGGGTGCAACAGAGCCTGGGGAATTTGGAGTCCCCAAGCACGTGTCTGATCCAAGGCAGGGGAGGTCAGGGTCAATTCTTCGCTCTGTTTCTCACCTCTCAGGAAATTGCCTTAAGGAACCCTTAGTAAATATTTAACCATGAATTTCAATTTTCAAGATGTACTGATTGTCCATCTTTCTACAACAGTTAACAGAAACATAATCCTAAAAATATGCTATAATTACAATTACTTGAAACTGTACCTAATTCCCCCTAAGTTTCCTGCATTTGTGCTATGTAAATATTTTGACTTTAAATCTTTCATTATATTGCCAGCAAGCAAAATGCTCTATCATATTAATAAAAGCATTAAATATTTGTACCAAAAACAAATTTGAGCTGATTTGCTGATCCTGAAATTGTTTTTAGCACCAGGCACTTGAATAAATGCAACAATATGGTATATTCTTGTAGTCACTGTTATATAAACCACCACTGTATACTGGAATACACTGAAGAGTTTCATCATCATAAAAAAAAACTTGCGTTAGTTTCATAGTCGTCCCTTCACCTAACACGGTCTTCATTTAGCGACGTAGGTTGAGAGATACGATGCTGAATCCCTTAAGATGATCTTTTCACAAATCAGCTGAGAACGGATAAGTGCTTCCAAACCAGACGAAGTTGGAAGGGCTGTTTCATCATCCTGGTGGGAAGGGTTTATGTACAGTATATATGTTATTTTCTAAATGAAACTATTTTTAGGCAAATATAAATTCTGAAAACCAATGTAAAACTGTATAAAAAAAAGTCAACAGTGTTTGTTGCTACTCTATGGAATCATCAGAAGACAACAGACAAAGACAATTTATATTATATAAATGACACAGAGAAGAACTTTTACAATGAGATTACCATTATACATTATCAAAAAATATACAATACACCAAATATGGTATGCATGTAGTATATGAAACCATTTTGTAAAAACTTTTTTTATTTATTTATTCAATGGCTGTCTCCAAACAAGGCAAGGTGACCCAAATAAGAAAACACATTCACCATCACTTATTCAATCACCGTCTTTCCAGAAGTGTGCTGACACTGCAATTAGATTACCCTTCAAATGTAACAACCCCACTCCTAGACTCAAGTCCAGCAAACCTCTTCCCCTGAATCCCTTCATAACAGTTTCCTTGCTCACACCAATAGCATGTCCATTAAAAACCATTTGTCCCATTCGCTCCTATCTAACATGCTCACGCAAACCTGTTTGATACACCTACCATCCGACTTACGACCTGCTCGACATACGACCATTTGATTTACGACCATGTTTTCTATGCCAAATTTCTGGGAAATAAACAACTGTTTGTGTTGCACACAGTGTTTATCCTAAACCTTACAGTATAAAATGCAGTACTAACAGCATAAAAATTAAAGTAAAAAATTAAAAACCAAAAAAAAAAAAAACAATAAAATAGTCATTACAAAAATGTGGGGTTGATATTCAGTAGTAAGGTTCGACTTACGTCCATTTCAACTTACGACCAGTTTATCGGAACCGAACTCGGTCATAAGTCGGATGGTACCTGTATTTTGAAGCCAATAAGAATAATTATTCCTCAATGATATTCATTTTTTATTCAGTAATTAACTCTTTCTTTCAACACACCGGCCGTATCCCACCAAGGCAGGGTGGCCCAAAAGGAAAAACGAAAGTTTCTCCTTTTACATTTAGTAATATATACAGGAGAAGAGGTTACTAGCCCCTTGCTCCTGGCATTTTAATCGCCTCTTACAACACGCATGGCTTACGGAGGAAGAATTCTGTTCCACTTCCCCATGGAGATAAGAGGAAATAAACAATAAGAACTAGAAAGAAAATAGAAGAAAACCCACAGGGGTGTGTATATATGTGCTTGTACATGTATGTGTAGTGTGACTATTTAATAATATTGGGACTTGTGGCACCCAAAACCAGTGGTGTTCAGAAAGCCACACCAGTAGTGAAAATTTGAAGCCGATCAAATGAGTCATTCTCCAGTTATGGCACGACTTCCAAGGATTCTAATTTTTTTTTACTATATCAACAAATGCTTTCCTGGCCCTAAGATGAGTCAGCCATTAAATATTAAAACCATTCAGAAGAGGTAAACCAAGAACTATTTAACATAATATAACTGGAATAAAAATTTCACACTGTAGTACGTACAAGGTAGTAGGTTGGTACACAGCAACCACCCAGGGAAGTACTACCGTCCTGCCAGATGACTGTGAAACAGAAACCTGTAACTGCTTTGCATGATGGTAGGATTGCTGGTTTCTTTTTCTGTCTCATAAACACGCTAAATAACAGGGATATCTTGCTACTCCTACTTACACTTTGGTCACACTTCACAGACACGCACATGCATATATATATACATACATCTAGGTTTTTCTCCTTTTTCTAAATAGCTCTTGTTCTTCTTTATTTCTTCTATTGTCCATGGGGAAGTGGAAACGAATCTTTCCTCCGTAAGCCATGCGTGTCGTATGAGGCGACTAAAATGCCGGGAGCAATGGGCTAGTAACCCCTTCTCCTGTAGACATTTACTAAAAAAGAGAAGAAGAAAAACTTTATAAAACTGGGATGCTTGAATGTGCGTGGATGTGGTGCGGATGACAAGAAACAGATGATTGCTGATGTTATGAATGAAAAGAAGTTGGATGTCCTTGCCCTAAGCGAAACAAGCTGAAGGGGGTAGGGGAGTTTCGGTGGGGGAAATAAATGGGATTAAATCTGGAGTATCTGAGAGAGTTTTGAGCAAGGAAGGGGTAGCAGTAATGTTGAAGGATCAGTTATGGAAGGAGAAAAGAGAATATGAATGTGTAAATTCAAGAATTATGTGGATTAAAGTAAAGGTTGGATGCGAAAAGTGGGTCATAATAAGCGTGTATGCACCTGGAGAAGAGAGGAATGTAGAGGAGAGAAAGAGATTTTGGGAGATGTTAAGTGAATGTTAGGAGCCTTTGAACCAAGTGAGAGGGGTAATTGTGGTAGGGGACCTGAATGCTAAAGTAGGAGAAACTTTTAGAGAGGGTGTGGTAGGTAAGTTTGGGGTGCCAGGTGTAAATGATAATGGGAGCCCTTTGATTGAACTTTGTATAGAAAGGGGTTTAGTTATAGGTAATACATATTTTAAGAAAAAGAGGATAAATAAGTATACAAGATATGATGTTGCAGTTTGTTGGATTATGTATTGGTAGATAAAAGACTGTTGAGTAGACTTCAGGATGTACATGTTTATAGAGGGGCCACAGATATATCAGATCACTTTCTAGTTGCAGCTACACTGAGAGTAAAAGGTAGATGGGATACAAGGAGAATAGAAGCATCAGGGGAGAGGTGAAGGTTTATAAACTAAAAGAGGAGGCAGTTAGGGTAAGATATAAACAGCTATTGGAGGATAGATGGGCTAATGAGAGCATAGGCAATGGGGTCGAAGAGGTATGGGGTAGGTTTAAAAATGTACTGTTAGTGTTCAGCAGAAGATTGTGGTTACAGGAAAGTGGGTGCGGGAGGGAAGAGGAGCGATTGGTGGAATGATGATGTAAAGAGAGTAGTAAGGGAGAAAAAGCATATGAGAAGTTTTTACAAAGTAGAAGTGATGCAAGGAGGGAAGAGTATATGGAGAAAAAGAGAGAGGTTAAGAGAGTGGTGAAGCAATGTAAAAAGAGAGCAAATGAGATAGTGGGTGAGATTGTTGAAAATAAGAAAAAGTTTTGGAGTGAGATTAACAAGTTAAGGAAGCCTAGAGAAAAAATGTATTTGTCAGTTAAAAATAGGAGAGGAGAGTTATTAAATGGAGAGTTAGAGGTATAGGGAAGATGGAGGGAATATTTTGAGGAATTGTTAAATGTTGATGAAGATAGGGAAGCTGTGATTTCGTGTATAGGGCAAGGAGGAATAACATCTTGTAGGAGTGAGGAAGAGCCAGTTGTGAGTGGGGGGGAAGTTCGTGAGGCAGTAGGTAAAATGAAAGGGAGTAAGGCAGCCGGGATTGATGGGATAAAGATAGAAATGTTAAAAGCAGGTGGGGATATAGTTTTGGAGTGGTTGGTGCAATTATTTAATAAATGTATGGAAGAGGGTAAGGTACCTAGGGATTGGCAGAGAGCATGCATAGTTCCTTTGTATAAAAGGCAAAGGGGACAAAAGAGAGTGCAAAAATTATAGGGGGATAAGTCACCTGCCTCGGTGGGAGACGGCCGACTTGTTGAAAAAAAAAAAAAAAAAAAAAAAGTCTGTTGAGTATACCTGGTAAAGTGTATGGTAGAGTTATTATTGAAAGAATTAAGAGTAAGACGGAGAATAGGATAGCAGATGAACAAGGCGGCTTTAGGAAAGGTAGGGGGTGTGTGGACCAGGTGTTTACAGTGAAACATATAAGTGAACAGTATTTAGATAAGGCTAAAGAGGTCTTTGTGGCATTTATGGATTTGGAAAAGGCGTATGACAGGGTGGATAGGGGGGCAATGTGGCAGATGTTGCAGGTGTATGGTGTAGGAGGTAGGTTACTGAAAGCAGTGAAGAGTTTTTACGAGGATAGTGAGGCTCAAGTTAGAGTATGTAGGAAAGAGGGAAATTATTTCCCAGTAAAAGTAGGCCTTAGACAAGGATGTGTGCTGTCACCGTGGTTGTTTAATATATTTATAGATGGGGTTGTAAGAGAAGTGAATGCGAGGGTCTTGGCAAGAGGCGTGGAGTTAAAAGATAAAGAATCACACAAAGTGGGAGTTGTCACAGTTGCTCTTTGCTGATGACACCATGCTCTTGGGGGATTCTGAAGAGAAGTTTCAGAGATTGGTGGATGAATTTGGTAGGGTGTGCAAAAGAAGAAAATTAAAAATGAATACAGGAAAGAGTAAGGTTATGAGGATAACAAAAATATTAGGTGATGAAATATTGGATATCAGATTGGGGGAGAGGAGTATGGAGGAGGTGAATGTATTCAGTATTTGGGAGTGGACGTGTCAAGCGGATGGGTCTATGAAGATGAGGTGAATCATAGAATTGATGAGGGGAAAAGGGTGAGTGGTGCACTTAGGAGTCTGTGGAGACAAAGAACTTTGTCCTTGGAGGCAAAGAGGGGAATGTATGAGAGTATAGTTTTACCAACGCTCTTATATGGGTGTGAAGCATGGGTGATGAATGTTGCAGCGAGGAGAAGGCTGGAGACAGTGGAGATGTCATGTCTGAGGGCAATGTGTGGTGTGAATATAATGCAGAGAATTCGTAGTTTGGAAGTTAGGAGGAGGTGCGGGATTACCAAAACTGTTGTCCAGAGGGCTGAGGAAGGGTTGTTGAGGTGGTTCGGACACGTAGAGAGAATGGAGCGAAACAGAGTGACTTTAAGAGTGTATAAGTCTGTAGTGGAAGGAAGGTGGGGTAGGGGTCGGCCTAGGAAAGGTTGGAGGGAGGGGGTAAAGGAGGTTTTGTGTGCGAGGGGCTTGGACTTCCAGCAGGCATGTGTGAGCGTGTTTGATAGGAGTGAATGGAGACAAATGGTTTTTAATACTTGATGTGCTGTTGGAGTGTGAGCAAAGTAACATTTATGAAGAGGTTCAGGGAAACCGGCAGGCCGGACTTGAGTCCTGGAGATGGAAAGTACAGTGCCTGCACTCCGAAGGAGGGGTGTTAATGTTGCAGTTTAAAAACTGTAGTGTAAAGCACCCTTCTGGCAAGAGTGATGGAGTGAATGATGGTGAATGTTTTTCTTTTTCGGGCCACCCTGCCTTGGTGGGAATCAGCCAGTGTGATAATAATAATAATAATAAAAAAAAAAAATAGTACGTACACACAAAATGGTCAAATTTGCTCTCACAAATTTGAATTTTATTCTCTAATGTCATAATTTTTTGTGAACCTTTTTTTTCATTATTGGAGGCTATGCCACTGAGGGTTTTGGAAGTTATATGGGCCATTCCAGGATGCTGGAAATGACTTCAACAACTGTGGTCATAGGGCATGTGAATGTGCCAGCTGTTTCAAGAATCTGGTCCATGTTACCATACACGAGTGTTGAAAATTTGAAGGTGACTGGACGAGTCATTCTTGAGTTACAAGTGAAATAATATAAAGTTGGAGGGAAAAAAAAATTTAGGCAACCTCTTAGAGGTGCTCCCATCACGAATGCCTGAGGCTTGGAATATATGGTTTCAGATACAGCCTAAGTTAAAGCTATATACTCAGTCAGCTATTTACAACCTCCCAATTTTCTGCGGTACTCCTTTATCTATTTTTTCACTGCTCTCAAAACAACTTGACAACTGCTGGCAACAGTTGTCTGAGTTGGATAACAACAAACTGTTTTCTATAAAACTATGTTTGGGATTCTGGCCATTTTCCCACTGTCGAATTTGGGAAACCACACTCTCCTCACACTTGTGTACCAGGCACATGCGACTCACTGATATCACATGGGGAAACAACCAGCACCACTGTAAGAACTGTCACATCGCACTGTCAGCCCACCATACTATAACTGATTGTCCTCTCTGTCTGCTAACACACAGGTTTCACTTCCAACATGAGCACTACTCTAATACACTAGCTGACCCTGTTTAACCATAAATTTTAAGGGGTGGAGCAGTAAGCCAGCAGAGGGCCTCCATTAGATGACCAACAGGTCCAGCTGCAGGTCATCATATGACTAAAACTTGCATCAGGAAACACCTGTCTTGTTTCCTGACAAACTTTACTTAACCTAACCCTGCTGAAAGCTCCCAATGTTGATGAAGACTGACTTTTTAACAGATTCTTACTCTCGTACATCCCTACTAGTAGTGCTGTATGACACATATGGGTTTAGTGCTTACTTTGCTTATATATTTATTATTCTACTGTATAAATAATTAACCTGTATATAACTGTATATTTACAGGACTGCCATTTTTTGTGACATGTATTTTTTTTTTTTTCAACAAGTCGGCCGTCTCCCACCGAGGCAGGGTGACCCAAAAAAGAAAGAAAATCCCCAAGAAGAAAATACTTTCATCATCATTCAACACTTTCACCACACTCACACATTATCACTGTTTTTGCAGAGGTGCTCAGAATACAACAATTTAGAAGCATACACATATAAAGATACACAACATATCCCTCCAAACTGCCAATATCCCAAACCCCTCCTTTAAAGTGCAGGCATTGTACTTCCCATTTCCAGGACTCAAGTCCGACTATATTTTTATTATATAATAAAATAAACACAAATTTTGAGACAATCTAAATTTTAAACCTGAAAGTCACATAATTTTTAAGCCTGGAACTTATATAAAATATACAAAAATTTTATACATATACTGTATCAATAAAAGTGAGTAAAGATGCAAATGCACATTGAATATACCTCAAGTGTAGTAGGGTATGCTCGTGCAAGAAGAGTTACACGGGTGTGGAGGAAACTCCAAGTTTTATCTTGAACTGTTGTGCCAACATCACAGTCTTCGTGGAGTAGCCCTTTTGCCTTCTCTCCATCATCTTTCCACTTGTCTAAAGAAGCTATAAATAAAAAAAAAAAGCTTAAATGTGAATCCACTGTTTCTTACATTAGTAATGAATGTGTGTAAAAGATACTGCCAAAAGAAACCTTGGTGCCTTGGTCACTATCTCAACCCTAAGCCTGGGGGTATTTTTTGTTTATTTATTTTTTTAACACGTCGGTCGTTTTCCAGCGAGGCAGGGTGACCCAAAAAGAAAGAAAAAACTTTCATCATCCTTCAATACTTTCACCATCACTTATACATAATCACTGTCTTTGCAGAAGCACTCAGATACGACAGTTTAGACATCCCTCCAAACTGCCAATACAGTATCCTAAACCCCTCCTTCGAAGTGCAGGCACTGTACTTCCCATTTCCAGAACTGAAGTCTAGCTAACTGATTTCCCTGAACCCCTTCACAAAATATAACCCTGCTCACACTCCAACAGCTCTTAAGGTCCCAAAAGCCATTCGTCTCCATTCACTCCTATCTAACACGCTCATGCACGCTTGCTGAAAGTCCAAGCCCCTCGCCCACAGTACCTCCTTTACCCCCTCCCTCCAACCTTTTCGGGGACGACCTGGGAGTATTATTAATCATAACTGTTTTTTGAGAGGAGAAACGAAGAAAAAACTGAAATATGGATTATGAAAGGAGAATGAGTAGGATGAGAAAAGAGGAAGAAATTATTATTGGGCGCCTCATAAATACGTGACCAAAATAGCTAAACTCATTTCCACTACAGGGTAATGGAAATAAATGTGCAGAAGAATTTAACTCATTATGCCATTTACAGATTATGACGCACTGAAGACAATTTAATTGCAATTTTGGTAACTATATGTAGCACACACAGCCATATTTACTTAATGAAATTATCTAATTTGCCTTTACCTTTATCCATGCAAAATATTCTGGTGAAAGCCAGAAGACCTGGAGAGATGGGATGTGATCCAGGTATCAACATAAACGAGCCTGCTGAGGGCAGGCCTAGTGACGATAGGAGTGCCACTTTCTCATCATGGAGTTGGTCGCCCTTGCTGACACCTAGCTTGATGGCCAAACTATCATTCTTGTTATCTGCATAAGAAAAAGGAAAACTATTTTTTTTTTAAATACATGCTAAAGTGGGTAAAAATGTTATGAAGGGAGTAGTAGGTAAATTTGGGGTGCCAGGGGTAAATGTAAATGGGGAGCCTTTAATTCAGCTATGTGTAGAAAGAGATTTGGTAATAAGTAATACATATTTTATGAAAAAGAGGATAAATAAATATACAAGGTATGATGTAGCACATAATGAAAGTAGTTTATTAGATTATGTATTGGTGGATAAAAGGTTGATGGGTAAGCTCCAGGATGTACATGTTTATAGAGGGGCAACTGATATATCGGATCATTATTTAGTTGTAGCTACAGTTAGAGTAAGAGGTAGATGGGAAAAGAGGAAGGTGGCAACAACAAGTAAGAGGTAGATGGGAAAAGAGGAAGGTGGCAACAACAAGTAAGAGGGAGGTGAAAGTGTATAAACTAAGGGAGGAGGAAGTTCGGGCGAGATATAAGCGACTATTGGCAGAAAGGTGGGCTAGTGCAAAGATGAGTAGTGGGGGGGTTGAAGAGGGTTGGAATAGTTTTAAAAATGCAGTATTAGAATGTGGGGCAGAAGTTTGTGGTTATAGGAGGGTGGGGGCAGGAGGAAAGAGGAGTGATTGGTGGAATGATGAAGTAAAGGGTGTGATAAAAGAGAAAAAGGTAGCTTATGAGAGGTTTTTACAAAGCAGAAGTGTTATAAGAAGAGCAGAGTATATGGAGAGTAAAAGAAAGGTAAAGAGAGTGGTGGGGAGAGTGCAAAAGGAGAGCAGATGATAGAGTGGGAGAAGCACTGTCAAGAAATTTTAATGAAAATAAGACAAAATTTTGGAGTGAGTTAAACAAGTTAAGAAAGCCTAGGGAAAGTATGGATTTGCCAGTTAAAAACAGAGTAGGGGAGTTAGTAGATGGGGAGATGGAGGTATTAGGTAGATGGCGAGAATATTTTGAGGAACTTTTAAATGTTGAGGAAGAAACAAAGGCCATAATTTCATGCACTGGTCAGGGAGGTATACCATCTTTTAGGAGTGAAGAAGAGCAGAATGTAAGTGTGGGGGGGTACGTGAGGCATTACGTAAATGAAAGGGGGTAAAGCAGCTGGAACTGATGGGATCATGACAGAAATGTTAAAAGCAGGGGGGGGATATAGTGTTGGAGTGGTTGGTACTTTTGTTTAATAAATGTATGAAAGAGGGGAAGGTACCTAGGGATTGGCGGAGAGCATGTATAGTCCCTTTATATAAAGGGAAAGGGGACAAAAGAGACTGTAAAAATTATTAGAGGAATAAGTTTACTGAGTATACCAGGAAAAGTGTACGGCAGGGTTATAATTGAAAGAATTAGAGGTAAGACAGAATGTAGGATTGCGGATGAGCAAGGAGGTTTCAGAGTGGGTAGGGGATGTGTAGATCAAGTGTTTACATTGAAGCATATATGTGAACAGTATTTAGATTAAAGGTAGGGAAGTTTTTATTGCATTTATGGATTTAGAAAAGGCATATGATAGAGTGGATAGAGGAGCAATGTGGCAGATGTTGCAAGTATATGGAATTGGTGGTAAGTTATTAAATGCTGTAAAGAGTTTTTATGAGGATAGTGAGGCTCAGGTTAGGGTGTGTAGAAGAGAGGGAGACTACTTCCCGGTAAAAGTAGGTCTTAGACAGGTTTGTGTAATGTCACCATGGTTGTTTAATATATTTATAGATGGGGTTGTAAAGGAAGTAAATGCTAGGGTGTTCGGGAGAGGGGTGGGATTAAATTTTGGGGAATCAAATTCAAAATGGGAATTGACACAGTTACTTTTTGCTGATGATACTGTGCTTATGGGAGATTCAAAAGAAAAATTGCAAAGGTTAGTGATGAGTTTGGGAATGTGTGTAAAGGTAGAAAGTTGAAAGTGAACATAGAAAGAGTAAGGTGATGAGAGTGTCAAATGATTTAGATAAAGAAAAATTGGATATCAAATTGGGGAGGAGGAGTATGGAAGAAGTGAATGTTTTCAGATACTTGGGAGTTGACGTGTCGGTGGATGGATTTATGAAGGATGAGGTTAATCATAGAATTGATGAGGGAAAAAAGGTGAGTGGTGCGTTGAGGTATATGTGGAGTCAAAAAACGTTATCTATGGAGGCAAAGAAGGGAATGTATGAAGTATAGTAGTACCAACACTCTTATATGGGTGTGAAGCTTGGGTGGTAAATGCAGCAGCGAGGAGACGGTTGGAGGCAGTGGAGATGTCCTGTTTAAGGGCAATGTGTGGTGTAAATATTATGCAGAAAATTCGGAGTGTGGAAATTAGGAAAAGGTGTGGAGTTAATAAAAGTATTAGTCAGATGGCAGAAGAGGGGTTGTTGAGGTGGTTTGGTCATTTAGAGAGAATGGATCAAAGTAGAATGACATGGAAAGCATATAAATCTATAGGGGAAGGAAGGCGGGGTAGGGGTCGTCCTCGAAAGGGTTGGAGGGGGTAAAGGAGGTTTTGTGGGAAAGGGGCTTGGACTTCCAGCAAGCCGTGCGTTGAGCGTGTTAGATAGGAGTGAATGGAGACGAATGGTACTTGGGACCTGATGATCTGTTGGAGTGTGAGCAGGGTAATATTTAGTGAAGGGATTCAGGGAAACCGGTTATTTTCATATAGTCGGACTTGAGTCCTGGAAATGGGAAGTACAATGCCTGCACTTTAAAGGAGGGGTTTTGGGGATATTGGCAGTTTGGAGGGATATGTTGTGTATCTTTATATGTGTATGCTTCTAAACTGTTGTATTCTGAGCACCTCTGCAAAAACAGTGATAATGTGCGAGTGTGGTGAAAGTGTTGAATGATGATGAAAGTATTTTCTTTTTGGGGATTTTCTTTCTTTTTTGGGTCACCCTGCCTCAGTGGGAGACAGCCGACTTGTTGAAAAAAAAAAAAAAATCCCATATGACAAAATTTTTTAAGTCTCCATTTTTTTAATCTTTACACTGAGAAATGTGTATACTATTCTGGTGTCCGTACACCAGGTGTGTATACGCAGTTGTATATATACACAGGTTAATATACACTGTGAGGTGTACTTTGCAAACACTGAATATCAAAAATACTTGCAAGTAATGGGTACAACTGATTGAAAAATTTTTCAAAATAGCTATAGATCCTTCATCAGTGCCATAATAGGAGTGCATTTTTTCCATTTTTTCCTCAATCTGGCATGACAGAGGCTCCACAATGATTCTGCAAAGCTTGTACCAAATTATTTTTTTTAATTTGTAAGAGAAATTCATTACACCTTATACTGAGATCCTTGTTATATAGGGTAATCATTATGGCATGTAATTGCTAGCTTAATTAAATTTTGTACTCCCTAACACTACAGTAATTCAGCTAATTGCATATTAGCTCTCTACAGTATATACATAGTTTTTTTTTAAAACGTCGGCCGTTTCCCACCGAGGCAGGGTGACCCAAAAAGAAAGAAAAAACATTCATCATCATTCAACACTTTCACCATCACTCATATATAATCACTGTCTTTGCAGAGGCGCTCAGATACGACAATTCAGACATCCCTCCAAACTGCCAATATCCCAAACTCTTCCCTTAAACTGCAGGCATTGTACTTCCCATTTCCATATTTTAAATCTACTAAATTAGTGAATTAGTAATGTCCAGGTGTCATACGAGTTATTTAGCCTAGTTTACATAGAGTAGTACGTACAGTTTACCTGGAGAGGGTTTCGGGGGTCAACGCCCCTGCGGCCCAGTTTGAGACTAGGCCTCATGGTGGATCAGGGTCTGATCAACCAGGCTGTTACTGCTGGCCGCACGCAAGCTGATGTACAAACCACAGCCTGGTTGGTCAGGTACTGACTTTAGGTGCCTCTCCAGTGCCTTCTTGAAGATAGCCAGGGGTCTATTGGTAATCCCCCTTATGTATGCTGGGAGGCAATTGAACAGTCTTGGGCTCCGGACACTTATTGTGTTGTCTTTCAGTGTGCTCGTGGCACCCCTGCTTTTCATCGGGGGAATGTTGCATCTCCTGCTGAGTCTTTTGCTTTCACATGGAATGATTTTCGTATGCAGGTTTGGTACCAATGCCCCTAGGACCTTCCAAGTGTATATTATCATGCATCTCTCTCGCTTGCGTTCAAGGGAATACAGATCAAGGACCTTCAACCGTTCCCAGTAGTTTTATGTGCCTTATTGCACTTATGTGTGCCGTGAAAGTTCTTTGTACACTCCAGGTCTGCAATGTCGCCAGCCTTGAAGGGGGCCATTAGTGTACAGCAGTATCCCAGCCTAGAGAGCACAAGCGATTTGAAGAAAATCATGAGCTTGGCGTCCCTAGTTCTGAAGGTTCTCATTATCCATCCTATCATTTTCCTAGCAGGTGAGGTAGATACATTGTTGTGGTCTTTGAAGGTGAGATCCTCTGACATTATTACTCCCAGGTCCTTCACATTACTTTTCTGCTCTATTGTATGGTCAGAATTTGTGGTATACCCTGACACATTTTTAATTTCTTCAAGTTTTCCATATCTGAGTAGTTGAAATTTCTCCTCGTTGAACTTCATATTGTTTTGATTGGCCCATTCGAAGATTTGGTTGATGTCCGCTTGGAGTCTCACAGTGTCTTCGATGGAGGTCACTGCCATGGTGATCCAGGTGTCATCCACAAAGGAAGACACGGAGCTATGGCTTACATCTCTATGTCAGAAATGAGGATGAGGAATAGAATGGGAGCAAGTACTGTGCCTTGTGAACAGAGCTTTTTACCGTGGCTGCCTGGGACTTTGCTCTGTTTACTACTGATCTTTGTGTTCTGTTTGTCAGGAAGTTGCAGATCCATCTACCAACTTTTCCTATTATTCCTTTATCCCGCATTGTGTGTGCTATTACACCATGGTCACACTTGTCGAAAGCTTTTGCAAAGTCTGTGTATACTACATCTGTATTTTCTTTATCCAGTTAACAAATTGTATAACCCTAGTAAAACTGGTAGAAACACTAATATACTAGTATAGTTCCATTGTTTGAGTTCAACAGACCGATACACACACATTAATTTATAATAAAAATATAATAAGCTCTTGATTTTCATGGGTTTGAAAGGTTAGGGTTTGCAGGTACACTATTTTGAAATGCCCATCTCAAGAAATACAAAAAGCAGCAACTGCAGACAAGGATAAGAACAGGTCTCTACAATAAACACTTGGAAAGGTGAAGCATAAGGAAGAGTTACTAAAGTCAAGGAGATGAATAAACACAAAAACCAAGAAAAAAAATACTGTAATATGTTTTGAAGCAAAACTACTTTCTGTGAATAGTTCAATGTAACATATTAGAAATAACCATACCTTAATTTTATTAGTACAGTGGACCCTCGCCTAACGATATTAATCCGTTCCTGAGAGCTCATCGTTAGCCAAATTAATTTTCTCCATAAGAAATAATGGAAACCAAATTAATCCGTTCCTAACACACCAAAGTATGAAAAAAAAAATTTACCACATGAAATATACATTTTTATGCACCCAAAAAGAAGACATGCACAATTACTACTGTACTAAATAAAGAATACATGACACTTACCTTTATTGAAGATCTGGTGGTGATTGATGGGATGGGAGGAGGGGAGATGGTGGAAGTTGTTATTGTTTGGAAGGGGAATCCCCTTCCATGAGGACTTGAGGTAGCAAGTCCTTTTCCGAGGTTACTTCCCCTCTTCTTTTAATGCCACTAGGACCAGCTTGAGAGTCACTGGACCTCTGTCGCACAACAAATCTGTCCATAGAGCTCTGTACCTCACATTCCTTTAAGATTTACCTAAAATGGGCCACAACATTGTCATTGTAATAGCCACCAGCACAGCTTGCAATAGCTGTGTTAGGGTGATTTTCATCCATAAAGGTTTGCAGTTCAACCCACTTTGCACACATTTCCTTAATCTCTTTTTACAATTCCATACTAATTCTCGCCCTTTTTACCACAGGGTTGGCACTAGAGCTTTCTTGGGGTCCATGGTGACCTATTTTGCAGTTACAAGCACTAAAAACACTGGGATAATGTGAAATGTACCGAATGTATGTGTAGATGCGACCGCACTGGCTGGCTTGTAAACACTGGCACTCACGGGGCAGCGTGGACAGGTCCCAGACGAATACATTGGGCGAGTTTTTTATCGTTAGGCGGGGCAAATTTTTTATGCTCAAACACTTCATTAGGCAGATTTAACATTATGCGATACGTTCGTTAGGCGAGGGTCCACTGTATTTGGACTTCCTTACCACTTTTTACATCAAATGACATACTCCTGCCTTCTCCTTTCTCAAGGGAATACTTGTTTTCTACAGTTATGCCAGGACCCAATTAGGCTCAGATCACCAGTCATAACACATGGAGGAGGAATAGCTGATGTGGTAGCATGACAGTCACAGTGGTTCACCGAACCCTTCACAGAAAAGTTTTTCTTACTTTGAAATGTACTCTGGAGTTTACCTGGAGAGAGTTCCGGGGGCCAACGCCCCCGCGGCCCGGTCTGTGACCAGGCCTCCTGGTGGATCAGAGCCTGATCAACCAGGCTGTTACTGCTGGCTGCACACAATCCAATCTGTTTTGGTTTAAGAACCAGTGTCAAGGATCCTACCACTGGTGCCCTAAATTTTAAGGTACAGGCTGCAATATACTGAAAGTCTGTAAACTCAGAGTACCACAGCATTGAGAAAAGAAATATAATTTACTTGATTATTTTACAAACAATTATTAGAAAAACTGCCAGGATAAGTGCTGAGGATCTCCTAATCCAATGCCCAAAGTCCTTCCAGTATTTAAATTTGATTTTTTCCATCGCTTCTCTTGCCTCATTTTAGTTTATGTTCTTGATCTAAGGCTATTCAATAACACTATGACCTGTATCTGCTCCGCCTGTTAACGAAAACTGCAAAACTGATTGAAACTGAACAGCATTACCACATGCAGCATTCCATTTTGTTGTAAATAACTGGTAAGGTAGCTATACATGGCTGCAAATGTTTAGCATGGAACAAAAAAGGACTAATCTGCCGGCACACCTTCTCACAAACATGCTAAAAACATCGAGTCATGCACACATTTCAATTTTTATCCTGCCTGCAGTTGAGAGATTCATCTGAATTGTGATGTCTGCTCACTTCCATCAAGACAGTTACTGAACCACCAGATTATGGGCACAAGTCCCAGTTTTTCATGTGAACTGTTACATTCATTTATTAAAAGTTTTCAGAACATTATTATTATTATATTCATGGAGAAACAAATACACACATGGAGGTCACACAGAATCAATACTAAACAATAACATATGCTGACCAATCATAATGCATACCTCTATATACAAAGCCATTATGAAGAAAAAGTTCAGTGTTGGGACGCTGACTGTAATATATCGTGAACTGATCCCCTGCCTTAAAGTCTCTTTGTGCCAGGCAGACACTGCAGTTTTTTTCATCGTCATAATCTGTTGAGTACTAAAAAAACGTATATTAGTGCCTAGTATTACTATGTGATTGAATGGGATGGAAAAGCAAGGAGTAACACTATTAAGAAATTCAGTACAGTACAGTACTGTATTTAAATCTGTCCCAAGCATTATTTTGCTCAATTTGATTTCACTGAAGTACTGGCCTCGATCAGCACACTTTCCTGCTCTGTAATGTAGTACAGTACATCTTGTGTTTGTATTGGTCCTTCCCAGTTAAAACATTTCAACACACATTACCTTATCTCTAAGAGAACATGATCTTTTTTTTCCCAAGTATAGCAGATTCCAATACTTTACATTGTTCCTTATTCAAGCACATACAGTACTAGATCTACTATATTATTGACTGACTGTTGCCTTATTCAAGTGACTTAGCTGATCTGATACATGTACTGTAGGACTTTTCGTTAAAATTGAGGAGCTCATTACCTATTCCCTTTCCATTTTAGCCTCTAGACTTTCCAGTCTGTATTTCTTTGTAGGTGAAGCCTCCTATTGTAATGACTTGAGCATTTTATTGTTAATTTTCAGTAACAGTTTTTTCTTGTATAAGGAATATGACAGATGATTATTTAAATTCACTATTAACTCATAGTTTGGAGAAGAAATTTTAGATGATGTTTCAGTTCATTCTGGACCTTTATTATGTCAAGACATGATAAAGGTCAAGACACTCATATCTTGATATGATGTTTTAGGATAAGCCAAAATACTGTCTAAAGCTTCTCTCAAAATTAGAGTTAATAGTGAACTGAATTCATTACAGTATTGTGACATACTCTTAATAATACTCTTGATAATATAACAGAGAATAGCTATCTCAAAGAAAATTGCCTTTCTTCCATTAAGTAGTGCAGTGCCTGCACTCTGAAGGAGAGGTGAGGATATTTGCAATTTTGAACTGTAGTACTGGTATTCCCTCTGGCAAGACAAGATAAGAATGAGTGATGGTGAAAGTGTTTCTTCCTTTTTAGGTCACCCTGCCTTGGTGGGAGATGTCCAGTGTGTTAAAAACACACACACACACACACACACACACACACACACACACACACGTATATACATACTGAAGAATATACTCACAATCCCTTGCTGATGGTTTGCCATATCCCAGGCTGGGATGAGCGCCAACTGGCCACTGGATCCTTTACATGGTATGCGATTCTGGCGTGTCATCACTGTTGAGACAGCCCATCTGTAGACACAATATATCGGATTATATCAATTGGTAATATTAATAATCATTATTACATACAAAGTGTAAATGATAAGGGTTACTCCATTCAAAGGCAATGAGTGCTTACCATATTTAATACCAAGAGCAACTGATAAATTAATGGATAAAATAATAATAAGTAATTATATGACACAATAAATGGCAGTTTCCCCAGCAGAAAAAAAATCAGAAAATAGCTTATGAAAACAGAATTTTTCATACCGGGCCGTGGGGGCGTTGACCCCCGAAACCCTCTCCAGGTAAACTCCAGGTAAGAAAATGAAAAGATAAAATGAAGTGGGGGAAAAATGTACAGTATGTAAAAAACTCTTATCTAAAAGGTATGACATATAGAAGCAATGGTATGAATATTCTGAAGAAGACCCTGCAGAATAACTCAGGAACAATCTCTAGAGGCACCCTGCCACAGCCACACTGAGATAGACCATAATGGGTAGCAAGTGAGATGGGAAGCAGCACTAGGGGAAATCAGAGACAATAGGAAAATGGCTCTCAAAACTGTACCTCCCTATTTATCTAAGCTATGCACATGTAATAAATTTAACACTGGGCAGAAAACCCCCCACAACAACTGTGAGGGAAAAGTAGCGAGGGAGTATATTCAAAGTTTATTCTCTATAAAGATTACAATGTTGAATTTACAGAATTTGGTTGTTGTGTGGTTTACATGTAGTTAAATAATGATTACAGTGTACCACTAGAACGCCTAGCATGGCTAGGCATTTCGGGCAGACTTAGTTTAATTCTTTATTTTAAAATATTACAAATTATGAGGTAAGTTGGTATTATGGCTAAGTGACTAAATACTAGTTTGTGAGTTTAGCAATGTGAATGCTTTTGTTTTGGCACAGTACATAGTTTCAGTATTGGAGTATCATAGGATTCATTATTTTAAGATTGAGATTAATATTTTCTGTTTATGGTCAAATGGTGTGAGCGAGTGGTAAGTGTGAACCACCAGGTGGTATTCGTTGTGTTAGTTGATGGGGTGTATCAGGGAGATAAGATGTTTTCTAATGGTAGTTTTGAAGGTGATGATATGTCTGCAGTTACTAGAGTTCTCAGGTAGGGTGTTCCAGATTTTAGGGCCTTTGACATACATTGAATTTTTGTAAATGTTTAGTCAGACACGGGGAATGTCGTAGAGATGTTTGTGTCTGGTGTTATGCCTGTGGGTTCTGTCAAATATCAAGAAAGCATTTTAGGTCAAGGTTGATATTGGAGTTTAAGGTCCTGTAGATGTAGATTGCACAGTAATAAGTGTGGATGTACTGAAACAGGGAGTAGTTTAGAACTATGAAGAGTGGGGGGGGTGTTTTTGCAGGGATGGGATTTTAGTGATTATTCTTACTGCAGCTTTTTGTTGGGTTATTATTGGCTTTAGGTGTGTTGCTGCAGTTGGTCCCAAGTACAAATTAGAATAGTGAGGTATGGATAAATAAGTGAGTGGTTATAGTGTGAGAAGGGCATTTTGTGGCACGTAGTATCGTATCTTGGAGAGGATCCCAACCGTTTTGGATACTTTTTTGGTTAGTGTTGGATATGGGTGCTGAAATTCAGGTTGTTGTCAAGGTATAGGCCTAGGGAATTTGCCCTCATTATGTCTGGTAATTGAGTGTTGTCGATCTTAATGTTAATTTGTGCATCTCCTGCTCTGCTACCAAACATAATATAGTAGGTTTTGTCAGTGTTAAGCAGTAAAGTTTATTGGCTGTCATCCAAGTCGAAAATTTTGATCAGCTCCTGTTAACATGGTTGTTGAGGGTGGCAAGATTAGGGTGAGAGATGACGTAAGTCGTGTCGTCAGCAAAGAGAATGGGTTTTCAGGTGTTGAGATACGTTTGGAAGATCATGATGTATATGAGGAAGAGCAGGGACCAAGGACACTTCCCTGCGGAACTCCAGTATCAAGTGGCCGTGTTGTTGATGCTGTGTCTTTAATGGTGACATACTGATACCTATTAGTAAGGTAAGATTTGAAATAAGCAAGCGCATGGCTCTTATACCGTAATGGTCAAGTTTGTGGAGTAGGATGTCGTGGGTTCTACTGTGTCAAAAGCTTTTCTTAGGTCAATAAAAATTCCTAGTGGATATTCCTTATTTTCCAATGCTGTGTAAAGCAGATCTAGCATTTTTATGATTGCATCATTAGTGCTTTTATTTTTCCTGAATCCAAATTGGCAGGGGTTGAGTATGTTTTGTGCTGTTATAAATGAATATAGTCTCCTGTGCACGAGTTTCTCAAAGATTTTGGATAGCAATGGTAAGTTTGATATTGGCCTATAGTTGTTTAAGTCTGTAGGGTCACCACCTTTATGTATTGGAGTAACCCTTGCCATCTTGAGTAGTTTCGGGAAAATGCTAGTTTCTAGTGACGTGTTAAAAAGTAATGAAATAGCATGCGAAAGGATATGGGCCGCTCGCTTGTACAGTAATGGTGGGACATTAGATAGATTCCCTGAGTTGTTTTTAAGTGTGACTTTATAATCTCGGTGACTTCTGAGGGCTCAGTTGGTGCAAGATAGAAGGAATTTGGGAAATTCCCATCTAGGTAGTCCCAGGCATGGGCATTGGTATGTGGGATTTTATTGGCGAGATTAGATCCTATGGTTGAGAAGAAGTCGTTTATCTTGTTAGCTGTGTCAGTGGGATGTTTGTGGTGTTTCATTAGGTTTAGTTAGGACATATTCTTGGTTTTTTTCAGTTTGTGGGTCCCTATAATCTGAGAGAGTGTTTTCCAGGTCTTTTTTATATCTCCTCTAGTGTCTGTGAATCTACTGGAGTAGTATAGTTGTTTGGCTTTCTTTATTACTTGGTGAGAACTGATGAATAGTGTTTAAGAATATCTTTGTGTATTAAGCCTGTCTATATTACTTTCATATTGGTGTTTCTTGTCAATGGATTTCAGAATGGTGCTGGTTAGCCATGGGCAACCAAGCCGTTTGTTGTGATCTGTTTCGTTTTTTTAATAGGACAATGTTTGTTGTATAGTCTAAGTAATTTGTTAAGAAAAATGTCTATCCAGTCATCAATACCATTGGCCTTGGAGAATTCTGTAGGCCAGTCAACAATCTCTAGGTCAGCTGTGAACTTCCTTATTGAGGCCTCGTCATGGAGTCTAAATTGAGACTTTGTTTGTATTCAAGTGGTGGTTTACTAAGGTTTGTCAGGAGGAAGGTAGGGTAGTGGTCTGTAGTGCTATCTGTGATTATCCCTGAATTAAGGCGGGCTAGTATATTGGTCCATGTGGTCTATTATGGTTGCACTTGTCTCAAGTGAGCCTGGTTGGTTAGTTATTGTTGGTATGAGAAGTGTGTTGTTCATATTGGTTGATGAAATCAGGTTACAGGTGATCTAGTAAGCCAGGTTGATGTTGAAGTCTCCAGCTAAGAGAAGGTGGTGCTTATTCATTTGTTGTTTGTTATTAGTGACTTTAATTTCTCACTGAAATTTGGGATGTTTGTGTGAGGTATCCGGTAAATAGCACCGATTGTTATAGGTGTCTTAAGGTTTTTTACAGTAAAATTAGCAAAAATGTATTCCCATATTCATCACTAAAGCAAGTGGTGCTAATACAAGATAACTGGTTAGAGTAATTAGATTGCAATACCACCCCCAACTTGGTTTGGTCTGCAGTTGTGAATTGCTGTGTATCCTGGTAGAGGGTAGATATCTATTGTGTCCTGCTTAAGCCAGGTCTCAGTAAGAATAATGCAGGAGAAGGGTGTCTTTAGTGATTCAAGGAGTGCCAGGAGGTCATCATAGTGTTTGTTAAGGACCTGATGTTGTAGTTAAGTACTGATAGACTTTTAGCATTGTTTAGGTTAGTGCTGGCTTGTGATGCTGTGTAATAAAGGCAGTACTTTCCAATAGGTTTTGATTGGGTTGTCAGATTATGGAGGTTTAGATCAGGGTCAATGTGATCAATCATCTTCTATGTTTAAATTATTTGGGTTTTTTATATCCTGAGTTGTGTGTTGAGTTCTAGTACTGATATCTGTAGTGGTGGGAAGTTTGGATAAGTATATAGCTAGAGTATTTTGGTCATATTGAGTATAGTCACTACTACACATAATGAAGTTGATGTTGTCTATGTGTTGTGCTGGAATGAACTAAAGTACAACTAGGTATAATACTAGTAATATAAAAATACAAATTTAAAATAGAAACAATACTCTCACTTGTAATTGCACTAAGGTCTAATATAATGACTTTTGTGGAGTCTATGTTTTGAGCTAGAATGAGCTATTAGTACAACTAGATTTAATCTAATAATATAAAAATACAAATTTAAAATAGCACCAGTCTCTCACTAGTAATTGCCCCTATGGTCTAATATAATGAATTTGGTATTGACTATAGTACAATGAGTTTAATCTAATAATATAAAAAGGCACAAGACTCTCCATTGTAATTGCACTAAGGTCTTATATAAGTTGTTTACAAGAATTAGAGTTATAACTAGATTTAAATTGACAAGATAAAATATACAAGTTAAGGTAGCAAAGAAGAATAAAAAAAAAAATGATAAAAATAAAAATGGCAATGACTTGGTTATAATATGCTAGTAAGATGGTAGACAGGATAATATAAAAGTTGTAGTTGAAAATACTAGTTTAAAAAAGTATAGAATAAAATGGTCAATAAAAGAAGTTTACAATAAGTTTGATCAATATAGTTTAAAGCAAAATTGGGCAATAATAGGGATTTTAGAATAAAAAATTGGGCAATTGAGTATTTCTTTAAAGTGAGGTAGAATTATTGAGGATAAGTTATGGCTAGTTTATAATAAAATAAGATGGAACAGTGATGCGGTAAGTTGTAAAAAAAGAAGATAGATTCTGTAGATATTAAACAAATTAAGACTATGAGGTATAATGGTCGTTGAATACAACAATGACAATCAATAGTAGTTGGGGTATTAGAATTTTAGGGGGGCACAAATTTATGACAATATAACACTAACTGTGGACTGTGGGTATTATCTGCACTTTACTCTGATTCTGTTAGTCCAGCCTCACTTAGGAATGTTTTAAGGTCATGTTCTGTAGAGATGAAGTATCTCTTCCCAGTGGGCTGTTTCCTAACTGTGATTTTTCCATCCCTCACAAAGCACTGGTGGATTTTTGGGGCATAGCATAATTTTCTTAGCCGATAAAGAAGGTTTTATCTTATTTTGGTAAGGCACTCATTGACGTAAACATCAGTTTTCATAGAAATAGATGTTTTTAGTAGGTTGTTTCTTTGTAGGCTAGTTTGGAATTTTAACAGCACTGTTTTTTTACCTGCTTGGTAGCCCATCAGTTTGCAATCCTTTAGGTCGTCACTACGTATGTTAAGGTGAAGGTGGTCCTTGATAAGCTGCAGGGTGGTCTCCATGCAGGTCTCTTGGGTGACTGTGGGTGGGAGATGTTTGCTGTTAACTACAACAGCATCAGATAGCTGCTGTTGGTCATTATGGTCTTGGAAGTTGGTTATGACATTGGCAAGTTGTTGGTCTACTCTTGATCTTTCCTCTGTAATGTTGGTAGTAAGTAGGGTGACTTGGTCTTTTAGTGTGTTGATGGTGTCTAGGGACTGGGTGTGGGTGTTGCTTTGTTGTTCCAGTGTGTCTAGTTTATGTTCTAGAGCAGTGATCTTGTTGAGGTAATCTGCATTGCTAGCTTTTAGTTCCTGCATTTCTTGAGTTAGTTTGGTGATCGTTTGGTTCTGAATCGTAAGGAGTTTAGCTATTTCTGGGTCGGTGATCTTCTTGACATCAAATACTGGGAAGGAGTTACCTTGGACTGTGACGGCGGCCATGTTTGTTGTTGTCTGTCGTGTGTTGTGGTGATGCCGGTGGGTGATGAGGGTTGTGTCCTGGCTGGCAGTACCACAAGTTTTCCTCGTGTTATTACTGCTCTCACCTTTGATGTTAGGAGTCCTTAGCTGGTTACTGGATCTTCTTTTATTGCTCTGACCCTTGTCCATTGGCTGTGGCTTCAGGTGAATAATAGGCGATGGGTGAATGTTGTGGAGTATCACTTCAGTGGCAGCGGGGTAGGACGTGTGTAGTACGAGTCCTATTAGTTGGTAATTTGTGAACTTTTGGGTGATTTCTGCAGTTGATTTATATTATTCTGGGTATCCACACATGTTAGTGTTATGTGGGTCTTGATTAGGTCATCACTGGGCTGCTGGGAACCTCAGGTAGAAGTAAAAATAGAGGACAAGGTTCCTGTTGCCGCTGCCGCCGCCGCAATAGTTTCATTGCCGGCTACTTGTTAAGGTAGGGTAAGTCCAGCTCCCGCTATTCCCGCCTTTTCTCCCCCACCCCTAAAGTGATAGTTTGATTGCCGGCTGCTTGTTAAGGTAGGGTCAGTCTAGCTCCCGCTATCCCTTCCCTCCTTCTTCCCCCCCCCCCCCCCCCGAAAGGTGACGTGTGGGGCTCCGGTCCAAACAGTAATCACTAGACTCACAGCTCCCAGCACTACTGTAAGTACATGCCTGCCTTGTATTCTAGTGGATTTATTGGTTGAAAGCTTCACTTTTGACCAATAATAAACTTAGTCCTTTCAGTCTTGCTCTAGGTTGACTGTTGTAATGATCACCACGTCTTTTAGGTATTGTACTTATCATGGAGATTGATTTCTTAAGCAGTGGGTAACCTGTCTATCTTACCAGCTTGGATGACAGAGAGGGTCACCTGCCAATCAACGAGTAGAATTGATGGAGATGGACTAACGTCCTGAGACTTCCCCTTTTTGGATTTAATTACCTGTGCACCTGTATGAAATTGCAGGACGTAACCCCTCATCATTGCAGCGGTAAAGAACCTGCTTTCCTGTCATCGGGATAGAATACTCATGGCTATACTGTGAAGAACGAACCGGTGGGTTGTAACCAACACCTGCGACCCCCCCCCCCAATCATCAGCAACTGCTACGATTTCAACAATACGCAGTGTCACCAACACCAGACACCCCTATATATATTAGCGTTGAGTTCAAATGTTATTTTATTCATTTCATTTTTCATTTTTCTTTCAAATAGGATATACCTTTCATGTTTTATTGTTTTATGTTTGCTTTAATAAATAATAAAGTGTTTATCTTTGTGAATTATTATTTCTTTTTCTATTCATTATTTTTCCTGAGGAGGAGCCAGCCTTGGTAATACTGACTGAAGTTGTTACAGGGCTGAGTAAGCCTTCACAACAACACCCACATTAAGATGAATCATGTAGTGGCCACCAAGACCCAACCCCCACACAATATAATTTCAACATCAAGTCAGGCAGATAACACAGCTAGCTAAGGTCTTATGCAGTAAACAAACTAACTTCATGGGCATCAGAAAAACTTGTCAAGAGTACCAGGTTTTCTGCAAATCAAAGACAATCAAGGAGGTCAAGATGGATGAATCCATTTGAGACTGCAGATTTAATAGAGAGCAGATGTGAGGGAGGGTGAACTACATATACGTTGTGGTCTGGTTTGGCAAATGTGCTGTTGTGGGTCATGCAACCTTAGAGGATGCCAGTGCCCAACCCCCTGGTGAGAACAGTTGTTTGGGCAGAGGCAAACTAGGGGCTTAATGGAGAATAACAGAATTCCTGGGGAAATTAGAAGCAAGTAATAGGTAGGAAGAAGTGTGGCATATTGTATTCCAAAAGTTGGTCCCCATGGTTCAGACAGAAATACAAGTACTAAACACAAAAGAAATACTAGATGCACATGTCTAAGTAACAACACAGTGAAGTAACAGAATGAAGAAGAAGAAACTGAAGAAATCAGTATGTTTTTAAACAGCAAGAGAATAGTCTAATTAAAAGTTAAATTTAAAAAAACAGTGCTATAATGTGCCCGAGGAAAAATAATGTGTAACTAAGACAAATGCTCTACTTTTGAACATTCTCCATATTCATTTCCTCATGAATATTTCTGGCTATTCTAATTTTTGCTGCTGTTACCCTCTTGCACACCTTTTCTGTCTCCAACTGCCAGTTTATAAAATAACCATAGGCTAAGCCTCCATTCATGTTACCTACTTTCACAAAGCTAGAAGCCATAAAGCAATACAGTACTTAACCCCACCCATATGCATTATAGTAAAGTAATCTTTAATTGGCCAACTTTTGCTTCGGCAATGAATGTAGAATCGATAAAAATAGGAATACTGTCGAGCGTTATTTCGAAACTGCTTCACTGCTTCTTCTGAAAGTAAAATTTTTATTTCTTTTTTTATCACCTAACAGATAAATAACTTCCATTAAAAACTGCATATGTATTTTTTGCTTTTTCCCATCAGCCATTTCAAGGCAAACTGTATATGTACATACATAATATGCACTCATGCATGTACATAAACACACCAAGTGCAATTTACATCAAATTTATTGAGATTATACCTTAACCCTTTCAGGTTTCGGCCGTACTAGTATGGCTTACGCACCAGGGTCCATGACGTATAGTACTCATAAATTCTAGCGCCTTTAAATCTAGTGAGAGAAAGCTGGTAGGCCTACATATGAAAGAATGGGTCTATGTGGTCAGTGTGCGCAGTAAAAAAAAACCGCGAAAACAGTGGTAAAGAGAAAAAAAAAAATGACATGGTTTTGGGTTTTAAAAAAAAACGCCTGGATTTTCTTTGGTAATTTTTACAATTCTTTTTTCATTGAAGATTGAAACTTTCAAAAAAAGGGGGGTTTTTTTTTTTAAAAAAAGACCTTGAATTAGCTCAAATTTGCGTGCAATTTTTTTCGAAAACAAAAAAAAAAAATTGGGGCTTTCCCTCAGCAATGTGGGGTCAAAAAATTTTAAATCCCCAAAATTTTTTTTCCATTTCTCAAAAGGGAAAACCCCCAAAATTTCTTTAAATTTTTAAAAAAAAATTTAAAAAACAAAAATTAAAGGGGGCCTGGGAGGCAATAAAAAAGGGAAGTTTTTTGGCTTTTCTTTCTTGTTTATTTTGGCCCTTTTAATTTCTTTGTTTTTTTTTTTTCCCCAAAAAATTTTAAATTTTCCCACCGTTGCGTGTTTTGGGCACGTTTGGCACGTTTTGTTTATTTTTGAATTTTGGTAAAAATCAACTTTTTGCTACTTTGAGCCAATTTAAAAACACTTTCATGTAAAACCAGCCAAAATCATCTAAATTTCTGTAATATGTCTTCCATTCTATAAAATGAGACCAAGAAAACTAAAATACAACAATAAATCCATACGAAAATACACTGAAAAGTCGCTGATTTATTCCAAAAAAATGGTCAAAGTTTTTTTTTTTTCATTATGCACTGTGTGCTGCAGGATTTTTTTTAGACTGTGCACACTGACCACATAGACCCATTCTTTCATATGAAGGCCTACCAGCTTTCTCCCACTAGATTTGAGGCCGCTAGAATTTATGCGTACTAGTACGTCAAAAAACCCTACGCGTAAGACGTACTAGTACGACGAAAACCCTCAAAGGGTTAAAACAGCGACTTTGCACTGTAGTATTTTCGTATGGTATTTATTGTTGTATTCTAGTATTCTTGGTCTCATTGTATAGAATGGAAGACATATTACAGAAATTGAGATGATTTTGACTGGTTTTACAATGAAAAGTACCTTGAAATTGAGCTCAAAGTAGCAGAAATGTTCGATTTTTACCAAAGTTCAAAAGTAAACAAATCATGCTAGGCTTCCAATACATGTCAACTGATGAGTCTAATATTCTTCCACAAGTGCGCCGATAGTATTTATACCATTTCTACACTAATGCAGTAGTCTGCATAACAGTAAATCTTCTATATTTTGTGAGAATAAAAATTCAAAATGGAAAGCAAAAGAATGTAAGAGGGGCGTGAGGACGTGACTAATGAACAGAGGAAATGTTATTTTAGTGCCAGGAATGTCTTTCTTGTTTATTCTGGACCCTATTTGGAAATTGGCATCTTCTGAAATTTGTGTGAAATTGGCAAAATTGCTAAATTCTGACCACTGTACTGGATAGTTGAAATTGGTAAATTGGTGGTTTCTTGTACTCATTCGATAGAAAAAGTGGAATTTAGCGAAATAGTTATGATTTTTGTCGACTAGTACATTGGAATTGGCCGAAAATAGGGCTCAAAGTGGGCAAAATCGCCGATGTGTCAACACCGTTGAGACCGCTAACTTCGCGAGAGCATAATTCCGTAAGTTTTCCATCAAATTTGATACTTTTGGTGTCATTATGATCGGGAAAAGATTCTCTATCTTTTCATAAGAAAAAAAATTATTTTTTTTTTTTAAATTTGGGGGACCCTGAGAACAAGTCTCTGAGAGGGCCTGTGGACCCTGAAAGGGTTAAAATAGTCATCTAGGTTGATCCCACTCTCCTGGTAATACTCATTATGTAGCAGTCACTGTGGTGAATGTTATTAGGCATTCCCATGAAACAATCCAGGATAAAATACCTTTCCCATTAAAATCTTTTTTTTTTTTTCCAACAAACCAGCCGTATCCCACCAAGGCAGGGTGACCTAAAAAGAAAAAAACAAAAGTTTCTCTTTTTAAATTTAGTAATATATACAGGGCCATCCTAGGTAGTAGGTTGGTAAACAGCAACCACCCAGGAGGTACTACCGTCCTTTCAAGAGAGTGTACAACGAAAGCCTGTAATTGTTTTACATGATGGTAGGATTGCTGGTGTCTTTTGTCTGTCTCATAAACGTGCAAGATTTCATGTATGTCTTGCTACTTCTACCTGCACTTAGGTCACACTACACATATATGTACAAGCATATATGTATATACACACACCCCTCTGGGTTTTCTTCTATTTTCTTTCTAGTTCTTGTTCTTGTTTATTTCCTCTTACTTCCATGGGGAAGTGGAACAGAATTCTTCTTCTGTAAGCCATACATGTTGTAAGAGGCGACTAAAATGCCAGGAGCAAGGGGTTAGTAACCCCTTCTCCTGTATATATTACTAAATGTAAAAGGAGAAACTTTCGTTTTTCCTTTTGGGCCACCCCACCTCAGTGGGATACGGCCAGTGTGTTGAAAGAACGAAAGATACAGGGCCATATCCAGAGAGGCAGGGTGACAAAAAAATATAGGTATCAAAAAAAAATTTAATACTCTACTCACTTTCTCATTCACTTTCTCTCCTCCTTTCCTTTTTTTAATTTCTCTCCTCATTTTTCTACTTTGTTTTTCTCTTTTTGAACCTTAATCTCTCTTTCTCAAATAATGTGTGAGAAAAAGAAATTCTCATTAGAAAATGATATGATGTTCAAAATTTACCTAGGATTGGTGATCCTTTGAGCATCTGTAGCTGTTGTGGAGTAAAATACAGAGTCGTTGAATAAGATGAAGGTAGAATACGTAAATATGGTTGCCATGGTGACTGTGGGTTCACAAACTCCCCAAGTGTGTGTAGGGCCAAAGACACATTGCCCATGTGTTGCAGGATGGGGTCCCGTTCTATTAGCGAACCTGAAGGAAATACGTACTATGTTTCACATTTTAAGTATTGTAAAAACTTAATAATTAACAATTTTTAAAAATTCTACAATCAATTATTATTATTATTACTGTATTTAAGGAGATGTGCTTTTGGATGATTATATAGGTAGAACATCAATTTTCCGGACCCTCTGGTTCTAAAGCCTTTCCGGATTACTGAGGTTTCCCGCCTTGTAGAGAGCACAGTATTCCTTGGTCTTGGGGTTGGATAAACAACATACAGTTGGGTGGTAAATACACTGCCGTGGGAATTTCAAGTTTCTGCTTGTAAATCTGTATGAATTATAAGAGTTTCTGGACCATCGGTGTCCAGAAAATCGATGTTGTACCTGTACTATATAGACTGTTTCAACTCAGAGCCTACACAATCCTCTCCTAGTGGAAAATGGCAGCTATGCTAACAATTATAATTATAATCATGGGGGAGCACTAAACCCACAGGATTATACAGCAATTGTGGGGGGGGAAGGTATTCAGGCTCAATTCGGAGAACTGGAGCACAGATCCAATTCCCTAGATCAAGAGCCCCTCACCAGCATCAAGGAATCTCCCATGAGGGGAGCTGTGTTAACAAGAAAACTTCAATCTGTAATTATTTACACCTACCATCAGGCTTATGACCGAGTTTGGTTCCAAGAAACCGGTCGTAAGTCGAATTGGACGCAAGTCGAACTTTACTACTGAATATCAACATAACATTTTTGTAATGACTATTTTATTGTTTTATTTTGGTATTTCATGTTTTACTTTACTTTTTATGCTGTTAGTACTGTATTTTATACTGTAAGGTTTAGGATAAACACTGTGTACAACACAAACACTTGTTTATTTCCCAGAAATTTGGCATAAAAAACACAGTCGTAAGTCGAGTCGTCGTATGTCGAGCAGGTCGTAAGTCGGATGGTAGGTGTATATTACACGATGTTACTCCCTGTCAAGTAGGAAAGGTAATAGTAATGGTTGTGACATTTACAGAGAACTTTCACCAGTTTTCATAGTCCTAAAAAAAATATGCAATATACATGTATACACACACATTCACGTGCACAATAAAAGCAACGAAAATAAACACTCAACACAAATAAATATTCCCACCAAGCTAAAATAACCAGCATAAATTAAAAAAAACATTAAATTATTTATGTCAAAAGTCTCATCTAAAATATCAAATATAGAGCAAATAATATTTAGTCAGGAATCAAAAGAAACCAAACTCACTCATGTGAAGTGAAACTAAGTGAGTTGCACTATAATGATGCCACAACTAAAAATTGGATGCTTTGATTCAGACTGCTGTCAGCCACCACATACCAAGGTATGATTTTCTTGCAGTCTCCTCTGTTAACATGGCTTCACATGGCACAGAAATTACCACCTGCCCTTGCTCAAGATCCTCAGTTGCCTGAAGACCAAACCCTTGCTCTTCAAACTCGGCAATTTCTACTCCCTTTACCTGAAATAATATACTGAATTATTTTGTGAACAGATTTGATTATGGTAACTCAGGTTATATTTAATACTTTATACAAAATATTTTATACAGAGTTGAAGGTGATAATTGAAAGTACCTGTAGATAAATAAGTATTTGTAAACTGATACGTGAAATTGACGATTATTATATTCGTGGAGAAGTGCCTAAATCCATAAGGGTTCATGCAATACATACCTGAAAAATGGGAGGCAAAATTGCATATCGGGAAAGAATGACTGTACATATAAAATAGTCAAATTAAAAGGTATGGTACAGTACTAAAATTCTAAAAATAAATTCTAAATGTCATGGAAGAAAAAAGGTTAAAACATAATATCAGATAAAAGGAGTACAAAAAGTGGGAAGATTGAGAATGCAAAAAAAATTACACTTACTGTTCTACAGGTGGGCCCTGCTTATATAGCTGTAAAATGGAAATTGCTGTAAAGTGAAACATAGCCTTTTTTCACTCTCAAATGCATATAAAAACCTGATAACATGTTTACATTATCATACAATAAGCAGGCAATACAGCTAGGCCTAAAAAATGCATACACAATACACACACTGCTTACCTTAAAATATTTTCATCCTTAGCTTGTAGTGAGTGGTGAATACATTTATTGTAGGAAGTCTGAATAAATGAAGAATATACAACAATATACAATGCATAAATATACAACAATGCATAATTATACAACAAAAGATTTAAAACGTACCATAATTTTCTTTTCCTCAAGCCAGGACATGAAAGGTGCTACCTGTTCCTTACGAGGAAACGATGGCAGTTGGATATCTGAAATATATTATCCATTAGTATAACAGGACTTGAACAGATCATACAGTAGATGACAAAAGATATATTGAAGAAAATAGATGTCTTTGAGGGTGTACAAATCTGTAATGGAGGGAAGGAAAGGTAGGGGTCACCCTAGGAAAGGTTGGAGGGATGGGGTAAAGGAGGTTTTGTGTGTGAGGGGCTTGGACTTCAAGCAAGCATGTGTGAGCTTGTTTATATTGGAGTGGAGGCAAGTGGTTTTTGGGACTTGACAAACTGTTGGAAAGTAAGCAAGGTAAATTTTGTGAAGGGATTTAGGGAAACGGGTTAGCTGGACTCGAGTCCTGGAAAGTACAGTGCCCGCACTCTGAAGGAGGTGGATATCTGCAGGTTAGAGGGGCATCTGAACTGTGGTATCGGTAGGGCTCTGGCAAAACAGTGATAGAAGTGAATGATGGTGAAAGTGTTTCTTCTTTTGGGTCACTATATGTACTTCAGTGGGAGATGGACGAGTTTAAAAAAAATGCTAAAGAAATTTCCCTTTGTTGACTTTTTTGACTGATACAGCAATTACATAAAAATTTTGGAATAAATACTAAGCAAAACCACATTTTTAAATATAATGTTGAAGTTTCACTCAAATTTACAATGATCTGACTAAGCACAAAAACATTCTTAGATATGTAACTGCACATATCAGCAATCTGCATTTAATTTTTTTTTTCAATACGTTGGTTGTCTCCCACCGAGGCAGGGTGACCCAAAAAGACCCCCCCCCCCCCAAAAAAAAAAAAAAAAATACTTTCATCATCATTCAACACTTTCACCTCACTCATACATAATCACTGTCACTAATATAGTGTATAATAGTTACTATTAGACAATGTATATGTTTTATATTCATGCTCTAAATTTATAAGAGATTCATCTGCCAAGTTACAGAGACACTTAAAGCTACCTTAAATTTAGCTATAGCTCTGATGCCTCGTTTTCCCAGAGAATTCTCCCTCCGAGTGGATGGTCATATCAGAAAAAGCCTCCCAGGCCTATCTATACATGACTTCCTGGCATCCCCTATACTACATCTATTAACATAATATAACTTACTCCTTAATTAATCCTCCACTTTCACATTCCATAATGTAAGCTACAAAACTTACTGTACTTCACTCTTGTACATATTAAAAAATAATAAAACAATTATTAAACTATTAAGACACAACCAGTTAATTACATTTCAAATATCTGTAGCTATATTATAAATAGATGTAAAATCATATTCATGGGTCACATCGTAATCAAGTCTGGTACAAGGAAAATGTTACCTTCAATTCCTAAGATCAAAGAGTACATCAAATAAACCCCTTTGAAGGGAGCAATGCAAAATACAAAGATGAAATTTCCCTTTGGAGACTACTGGCAATAAGAGACAAGAACATAGGAAAACATCTACATTATGTCATACAACTGCGCATGTAGTTAAATGCACAAGAAATCCTACTTAACAGTCTATGTCTAATTCTTAAGTAGCCTTAAAGAATTAGGATTAACTTACCCAAAATGTATTATGTACCAGTGGCTGCTTTTGTGTCTAACAATATTTCGTTCCATGTAAACATTATTTTTGTACCATATAAAAAGGAGTAGAAATCTGAATTTGAATGTAACCACCAAAGAAATACCAAAAGGAAAATTATTCAACCATCAACACCCTATAACAGGGTCATACAATACACTTTTTTTGAGCTGCCTTTTTTATAAATTTTAAATGTACGAGTCTATTCTTTCTTAATCCAAGCTCAATTCTGCTACAGCAAAGTTTTAAGATACGTTCACACTAACCATATACAACAGACCTTTAAAAGGTTCATCAGGAGGAGAGAAAGCTTAGGTTATTATCTATTCTTTGATATAAATGAGGAATTTAAATTTAAGTCATTAATGGTAATTCAAGGTTATGAAAGTGGCCCTCCAAGACCATACATCTTTTTTTTTTTAATCTTAATAAAGATAAATGGTCAAAATGAAATAATGAACATTTGTTCATTTGAACTCCTTTTATTTAAAGTGAACCACACAAATGAAACAAGGGGCTACTTTGCACATGGCTCAAACATTTTCTTATAAAAACAAACGTGCAAATAAAATAAAATATAAATACCTGACTAATGGGATTCAATTAGATTCAGAATTTTTATATAGAGGGGTTAAGGGGTAGTAATCTGGTCGGAAGGAGAGCTAAGAGATATATCTTAACTATATTATCACACTATTATTATTTTATCTGGGGGGCTTTCGGGGGACCAGGGAAGACTTTGAGGGGGGTCAGCACCGCCTTTTCACTGCCACTGATCTGGCTTGATCCAAGGAAGGAAAGAAAATCTCAAGTTCTGTGAATCAAGAGCCCTTTGCTAGCATCAAAACCATCCCATTGAAGGGTGCTGTTCCAAGAATTATACATACATACCTTTCTCTATGTTCCTTATCTTTTCAATTAATGCATAAATTTCCAAGTACTCGGCCCACTCCTGTGCTGCACCTGGAGCAACAGCTGGAGGGACCTTTGTGCAACCTAGTGAATAAAAGTTATTAATTTTATTCATTACAATGTTAGTAAATTTTCATTGGTTACTAGAATTGAAATATTAATCACTGTTATTTCAAATTTATTAGTGTTTCATTATCTGTAATCTTTCATTGTTGTCCCACATCCCCCATTCTTTATGCCACTACCATATATTTACAAATGCTAATCAATGCAGCATATCTTACATATATTTAAGAAATCATGACTGATTTCTACTGTATCTTACAGCTAGACTTTAAGTAATAAATTATTACAAGGTTCCCATTTGAAATAAGTAACTGACTATTTTAGGTTATCCTAGGTAATTTACACATGTTACTATGTATGATAATTATAATTGTGTACCTATACTTAAATAAAGAATCTTTGAGAAATTATACAGTACATGTACTTTAATCCTGACCTTGATTGCAATGTACTTTTTTTTTTTTTTTCAATAAGTCGGCAGTCTCCCACCGAGGCAGGGCGACCCAAAAAAGAAAGAAAATCCCCAAAAAGAAAATACTTTCATCATCATTCAACACTTTCACCACACTCACACATTATCACTGCTTTTGCAGAGGTGCTCAGAATACAACAGTTTAGAAGCATATACGTATAAAGATACACAACATATCCCTCCAAACTGCCAATATCCCAACCCCTCCTTTAAAGTGCAGGCATTGTACTTCCCATTTCCAGGACTCAAGTCCGACTATATGAAAATAATCGGTTTCCCTGAATCCCTTCACTAAATATTACCCTGCTCACACTCCAACAGATCATCAGGTCCCAAGTATCATTCATCTCCATTCACTCCTATCTAACACGCTCATGCACGCTTGCTGGAAGTCCAAGCCCCTTGCCCACAAAACCTCCTTTACCCCCTCTTTCCAACCCTTTCGAGGACGACCCCTACCCCTCCTTCCTTCCCCTATAGATTTATATGCTTTCCATGTCATTCTACTTTGATCCATTCTCTCTAAATGACCAAACCACCTCAACAACCCCTCTTCTGCCCTCTGACTAATGCTTTTATTAACTCCACATCTCCTAATTTCCACACTCCGAATTTTCTGCATAATATTTACACCACACATTGCCCTTAGACAGGACATCTCCACTGCCTCCAACCGTCTCCTCGCTGCTGCATTTACCACCCAAGCTTCACATCCATATAAGTGTGTTGGTACTACTATACTTTCATACATTCCCTTCTTTGCCTCCATAGATAACGTTTTTTGACTCCACATATACCTCAACGCACCACTCACCTTTTTTCCCTCATCAATTCTATGATTAACCTCATCCTCCATAAACCCATCCGCCGACACGCCAACTCCCAAGTATCTGAAAACATTCACTTCTTCCATACTCCTCCTCCCCAATTTGATATCCAATTTTTCTTTATCTAAATCATTTGATACCCTCATCACGTTACTCTTTTCTATGTTCACTTTCAACTTTCTACCTTTACACACATTCTCAAACTCATCCACTAACCTTTGCAATTTTTCTTTAGAATCTCCCACAAGCACAGTATCATCAGCAAAAAGTAACTGTGTCAGTTCCCATTTTGAATCTGATTCCCCATAATTTAATCCCACCCTCTCCGAACACCCTAGCATTTACTTCTTTTACAACCCCATCTATAATATATTAAACAACCATGGTGACATTACACATCCCTGTCTAAGACCTACTTTTACCAGGAAGTATTCTCCCTCTCTTCTACATACCCTAACCTGAGCCTCACTATCCTCATAAAAGCTCTTTACAGCATTTAGTAACTTACCACCTATTCCATATACTTGCAACATCTGCCACATTGCTCCTCTCTCCACTCTATCATATGCCTTTTCTAAATCCATAAATGCAATAAAAACTTCCCTACCTTTATCTAAATACTGTTCACATATATGCTTCAATGTGAACACTTGATCTACACATCCCCTACCCACTCTGAAGCCTCCCTGCTCATCCGCAATCCTACATTCTGTCTTACCTCTAATTCTTTCAATTATAACCCTACCGTATACTTTTCCTGGTGTACTCGGTAAACTTATTCCTCTATAATTTTTACAATCTCTTTTGTCCCCTTTCCCTTTATATAAAGGGACTATACATGCTCTCTGCCAATCCCTAGGTACCTTCCCCTCTTTCATACATTTATTAAACAAAAGTACCAACCACTCCAATACTATATCCCCCCCTGCTTTTAACATTTCTGTCATGATCCCATCAGTTCCAGCTGCTTTACCCCCTTTCATTCTACGTAATGCCAACAACGTACCTCCACCACACTTACATTCTGCTCTTCTTCACTCCTAAAAGATGGTATACCTCCCTGGCCAGTGCATGAAATTACCGCCTCCCTTTCTTCCTCAACATTTAAAAGTTCCTCAAAATATTCTCGCCATCTACCTAATACCTCCCTCTCCCCATCTACTAACTCCCCTACTCTGTTTTTAACTGACAAATCCATACTTTCCCTAGGCTTTCTTAACTCTTAACACTCCAAAATTTTTTCTTATTTTCATTAAAATTTCTTGACAGTGCCTCTCCCACTCTTTCATCTGCTCTCCTTTTGCACTCTCTCACCACTCTCTTCACCTTTCTTTTACTCTCCATATACTCTGCTCTTCTTATAACACTTCTGCTTTGTAAAAACCTCTCGTAAGCTACCTTTTTCTCTTTTATCACACCCTTTACTTCATCATTCCACCAATCACTCCTCTTTCCTCCTGCCCCCCCCTCCTATAACCACAAACTTTTGCCCCACATTCTAATACTGCATTTTTAAAACTATTCCAACCCTCTTCAACCCCCCCACTACTCATCTTTGCACTAGCCCACCTTTCTGCCAATAGTCGCTTATATCTCGCCCGAACTTCCTCCTCCCTTAGTTTATACACTTTCACCTCCCTCTTACTTGTTGTTGCCACCTTCCTCTTTTCCCATTTACCTCTTACTCTAACTGTAGCTACAACTAAATAATGATCCGATATATCAGTTGCCCCTCTATAAACATGTACATCCTGGAGCCTACCCATCAACCTTTTATCCACCAATACATTAACAAACTACTTTCATTACGTGCTACATCATACCTTGTATATTTATTTATCCTCTTTTTCATAAAATATGTATTTCTTATTACCAAATTTCTCTCTACACATAGCTCAATTAAAGGCTCCCCATTTACATTTACCCCTGGCACCCCAAATTTACCTACTACTCCCTCCATAACATTTTTACCCACTTTAGCATTGAAATCCCCAACCACCATTACTCTCACACTTGATTCAAAACTCCCCACACATTCACTCAACATTTCCCAGAATCTCTCTCTCTCCTCTACACTTCTCTCTTCTCCAGGTGCATACACGCTTACTATAACCCACTTTTCACATCCAATCTTTATTTTACTCCACATAATCCTTGAATTTATACATTTGTAGTCCCTTTTTTCCTGCCATAGCTTATCCTTCAACATTATTGCTACTCCTTCTTTAGCTCTACTCTATTTGAAACCCCTGACCTAATCCCATTTATTCCTCTCCATTGAAACTCTCCCACCCCCTTCAGCTTTGTTTCACTTAAAGCCAGGACATCCAGTTTCTTCTCATTCATAACATCCACAATCATCTCTTTCTTATCATTTGCACAACATCCACGCACATTCAGACTTCCCACTTTGACAATTTTCTTCTTTTTATTCTTGTCAGTAATCTTTACAGGAAAAGGGGTTACTAGCCCATTGTTCCTGGCATTTTAGTTGACTATTACAACACGCATGGCTTACGGAGGAAAGATTCTTATTCCACTTCCCCATGGATATAAAAGGAAAAGTAATAAGACCAAGAACTATTAAGATAAAATCAAAGAAAACTCAGATGAGTGTGTATAAATAAACGTGTACATGTATGTGTTAGTGTGACCTAAGTGTAAGTAGAAGTAGCATATTTATGAGACAGACGAAAGACACCAGCAATCCTACCATCATGTAAAACAATTACAGGCTTTCGTTTTACACTCACTTGGCAGGACGGTAGTACCTCCCTGGGTGGTTGCTGTCTACCAACCTACTTAGTACATTAAATTCCTTTAGACTTTGGCAGCTCATGAGATGAGCAGAAATGCTGATATCAAAGTAACATCTCATACTTATACAGCAGTACTGTATACTGTACCAAGTGTAACACTCTTTAGGAAACTTCAGTCAAGTACATTAAACTAACCTAAAAATTTGTTTCCGCAAATTTCTAAATTAATAATGTATATTTCTGTGAATTATGTCATTAATTTTGCACCAACTAACTTAATAACGAAAGGAAGTCTTGCTAAAATTAATTTAGCTTAATCCTACCCAGCCTATCTTAGGTCAGACTAAATTTTGTTAGAATTATTTAACATCAATAAAATACTGTACGTTAATTTTGTGATGTCCAGGCTGAGTCTTGCATCATGGAAACAATGAATTAATACTCGGCTATTTTGGGAAAACAATTGTTCCTTTTAATACAAAGACCACAAGCCCTACCTAAAAAGTATAACATATACACCACCAATGAATCTTACTTAACAGTAATCAAAATTCATCAACTAGAAAACTAAAAGTGCTCCACGGAGATCATCACTTACTGCACTAGTTATCAAAATGTGATCTGATTTTCTCAAATAAATTTCAGTAATGCAATTTATATTCAGTTTTTAATCAAGTTACTTTTGATTTAGTTATCCATCTCTGCATGCTAAAACCTTAAAGCAAGTGCTATATAGGATCACAAAATGTATATTTAATTAAATGTGACAACATACAGTGGTCTCTCTGGATACGAACTTAATTCGTTCCAGAAGGCTGTTCGAGTGCCGATACTGAATGAATTTGTTCCCATAAGGAATAATGTAAATTTGATTAATTTGTTTCAGACCCCCAAAAATACACTTACAAGAGCACTTACATAAATACACTTACATAACTGCTCGAGTTTTGAGCTGTTCGTATCCCGAGTTACCACTGTATTTAGAACAATCTACCAAAAACTTACGTTTAAAAACTTCATCAACAACAGCCGTCAATTCCCCTCTGGTCTGAGGTAAAAGTTTTACTGGTCCAACATTCCTGTTTGCCGTCTTCTTGGCATTGCTTTTTTTGCCCATTGTACTGCAAAATAAAAGAATGTTACCTACAGAAAATAACACCATGTAATCAACATATCTAAAATAACAAACATATTCTGCCCAAAATTAAATACGTACAGTGTTCCAGAACAATGAATGCAGCACAATAAATTTAAATTTTCTATGAAGCAGTTCACTATTATTTTTTAAATTTGGAAATGCAGCTAGCCTTCCACTTTTATGAGCTTCAAACATTCATGAATGCCCAACAAGTGGTGAGTGTTTTGTTTGTTCATTATTTGTTATTAAACCATAACATGTATATACAATATTTTATGGGGTTTTCATGCATTTTATGACTGTTCATGGTTCAATAGGTTAAGGAAGCAGTATTGTTAGGCTAAGTAAATGCTATTATTATATTTCCCTACAATATATTTGCGCATCAAATCATTCATGAACACTACAGTTCAGTACAGTGGACCCCCGGTTAACGAACTTTTTTCATTCCAGTAGTATGTTCAGGTGCCAGTACCGACCGAATTTTTTCCCATAAGGAATATTGTGAAGTAGATTAGTCCATTTCAGACCCCCAAACATACACGTACAAATGCACTTACATAAATACACTTACATAATTGGTCGCATTTGGAGGTGATCGTTAAGCGGGGGTCCACTGTATTATTATATTTCCCTTCATCATATTTGCACACCAAACATTTGCAAATTTTCAAGATTTGCGAGGTTCTTGATCCCTGACCCTCGTGAATATGGAGGGCCTCCTGTAAAACCTCAGATAACTTTTTGGTCCAACCTGGACCATTATCAAGACTAATTTGATAAGAGTCCAGGTGGGACTAAAATGTTATTTAAAACTCCCTCTTCATACTATGAGTTAATAGTGAACAGGAAGTTAATGTGGTTAGGAAGCATTCCTACACTTAAAACTTAAATAGAGCATAACTACCTGTAGTATATGACAAAAAAAATAAAAATAACACTAACATTAAATCTAACATTACAACAATTTACCACATTTAAATAAAAATAAAAATTAGTGAAATTTGATTTAACAAACTAACAGGAAGACAGTTTCTAGTAATGCCAACTGCCTGTTAAAATACAAATACTATATTGAGACTGGATTTGCCATAGTCATAACAATAATGAACAATTCTGGATTTAACAAACTTTGGCCAGTAAATCAGAAATCAATTTACCCAACAGTGTAACAATAACAGACAATTTTGGAAATGGAGAATTTTCTCAGTTAAATTTGTATATAGTCTGTTGGGCACATTACTGCAATTTCTAATGATTTTGTTAATGCTATTATTTTTTTTGTATTATGTTGCTGTGGCTTTCATCTGAATTTTTTCTCTCCCTCTGTTGAAACAGTATTATGATTCAAGGTATGAAGGGTATTGGGGCTTCAATGGATATGCAGTACTAATTACTGCACTGTATTTGTTAATGAGCAACACAAACATTTTTTGGAAATCCTATACTTACAAAGTGTATCCTTTGCATAAAACTTTTATAAGTTTATAAAATGTAAAAGATAAAGATTTTATTTCATTGGAAAGGTTACAGTGTGTAATTACAATTTGATTTGTTAAGTACAAAGAAAGCCACTATCATGCTGGGGCATTTATATAGCTGTATAGAAGAAAAAAAGGTTATAATAGTAGTGGGTGAGATAAGATAAGATTGCGTTCGGATTTTTAACCCCAGAGGGTTAGCCACCCAGGATAACCCAAGAAAGTCAGTGCGTCATCGAGGACTGTCTAACTTATTTCCATTGGGGTCCTCAATCTTGTCCCCCAGGATGCGACCCACACCAGTCGACTAACACCCAGGTACCTATTTGCTGCTAGGTGAACAGGACAACAGGTGTAAGAAAACGCATCGAAATGTTTCCACCCGCTGGGAACCAAACCCGGGCCCCTTTGTGTGTGAAGCGAGAGCTTTAGCCACCAGGCCACTGGGCCCGGTGGGACCCCAGTATAAATATAAGACTTTTTTGGGAGTTATCTAAAGTTAAATCTAAATAATGTACTTTTATTTGCCCATAAGTGAGTGCATTCAAGAACACTGCGAGTATTTTGGCATAAGTACACATAAGTAAAATTATCATACACAATGTAAACTACCTAGGATAACCCAAAAAAGTGACTTATTTCCATCGAGGTCCTTGTAATATCTTATTTAAAAGTTAAAACAGCTAAGTAACTCAACTGTGTAAAAATCAGTTACAATAACAGGAAATATACTAAGGTAAAAAAAAAACCTATGCAATCAAAGCCTAAATAAAAACTTGTGTAGATAATCTAAATAAAACTGTTATAAGTAAGTAAGTAAGTAATAGGAGACAATAATAAAGTTGATGGAAATACATCAAATAATGGTTGACATTGTCAGGTTTAAGGTGTCTGACAGTGACACTATTTGTGCTGTGAATTGTGTGTCCAGTTAAGCACCCTTGGGTAAGGCCGGTACCTGGATGGGTGACCCGGCAATCACCCTTAGCTTAGAGGTACCTCCATATACCAGGCTTGTACCTGACACAGGGTATACCATACCAGGTCAGCCTACAATACTAGATTTATTATTTTATTTTTCTGGGGGAGCACCTAAGTTATCATGGTCATAGGTGCTTGGAAATGGGGTTACAACCCTATCGACTGCACGATGGTCATTACGGCTGCATGTAACTTTTCCCCACCAGCCAAGAATACTCTAATCTCCAAAATAAGAATTAAAGTATACGGTGAGCATATATAAACTGAGAGATATACACCTGAAGGTGTATATATGTCCCCCCATGAATCTCTGGTCCCTTCACATCCAGCAACCCCAGTGTAGGAACAGAGAGCGCTAAACCCGGCAGGCTTATGGCATATAACTGTCACAATGGCGAGTACTTACAAATATCACCAGAGGCGCTGCTACCCTAGTGTCAGAGCTTGTGTATATTATTAAGTTTGTTCCCTGCGGCTATTTCTGGTCATGGTTGGAGGAGAGAGTCGCCAGGCGCACCTCAAGCGCTAAACCCACTGGGGGTCTTGCACCCCCTGGGCATTGGCAGGTAATCAGACTTGATCCAAGGAAGGTGGAAGATTTCTCAGCTTCCTTGGATCAAGAGTCTTTCATCGGTATTAATGTACACTCCTCTTTCATCATGAGTGGCTCTACAGTCTCCAATTTTCTGGGTTATTCTAGGTAATTTACACTATATATGATAATTGTACTTATGTATACCTGTGCCTAAATAAACTTATTTATTATTTTAATCATATATCTACCCATGTATCTGCATTACATATATGTTCATTATCAAGGAAATAGATACACACTTTCCTTTCCTAGATTCTCTACACATATGCTGCTATGTATGATAATATATGTAACTGTATACCTGAATAAACTTACATAATAATAATAATATATTTATTTACTACAAGTACATGTACAAGTTATACAGTCCTAGCTGACATCAATGACATAGTACTACTATATAAAAAGCCACTTGTTATGTAGAGAATTTCGGGCAAATTAGGTTAGTTTTGTCCCAGGATGCCACTCACACCAGTTGACTAACACCCAGGTACCCATTTTACTGATGGGTGAACATAGACAACCGGTGTAAAGAAACACGCCCAATGTTTCTACCCTCGCTACTAATCGAACCCGGAATCGCCGTGTGAAGCGAGAGCTTTAGCCACCAGGTTTATGCCTGACTGGTCTAAAACCATTTCGTTCATACTATTACTGCTAATAATATTAATTATATAAAAATAATAATAAGAATTATGTTAAAACAAGTGTTACATACACCTTTTTTGGTTATCATTGCTAGTTAAAATATATATAAAATATATATAATATGGCGCCAATGCACGTCCACATCTAGTAAATCTGATTATCGCATTCATGGAAGGTGTAGAAAATACTGTATATTTTCCAAAAAATACAGTGTATTTTGTATGTAAATTGATAGAATATATTGTAGGTAATAAAAATTAATCTGTAAATAAATAAAGAACCACGATGGGTGAGCGTCGCTGGGGACTTGTGGTCATTGTTTTGAATTGACCGAGACAAACGTTAGTGAAAATCGGAAGAATTTTCGTCGCTCTAGGGGTTATATTGGGCTTAAAACCTCTCAAATAGGATCCAAAATTGTTGGATTTGCAGTCCTGCATAATATGAACATTAGGCGAGTGGATAGGACAGTCAAGGAACCCCAGCTAAGTCATGTCTATATGGAGTTTTGAGACTGACCGCGAGTTCAAATCCCACTCGTGGTATGGTTTTTTTTTATGTTGGAATTCTGGCCAGTATTTTCTTCATAATTTTAGGCAGGGGGTTTTGTGTATGACACACCGTAATCTCCAGACTAATTGGTGGGTCTTATTATTATTATAAATTCTCCTTCAATGTATATGTATTCATTTTTTAAATTTAATATACAGTCCAAATATTTATGTTAATGTTTTTGCCAGAATTCCTGGTGATGTATATTTCATTTGAAATTAATATAGGTCCAGAGTGACTTGTGGAGATATGACAGTAGTAGGTATCGAAGGGGGACATTTGCGACCTAGGTGTCCTAAAATTCCTACTGTAGACAGCCTGTACTGTCTGCACAGACAGCCCATGCTGTCTGCCAGCTTAGTTCATATTTCGCGATATGCTGGTGCTGCCACCTAGGCCTTGTCACTTCAGTATGCCCAGACTTGCCTCGCCCTCACTCACACAGCGGCCTGGCATCAACACACAAGGCCTCCCAGCTCTCTCTCGTGGGCATGGCCCTGCCCGGGCCATGGGCACAAACACACAAGCCTGTGTAACCCAACACTAGTTATCAATAAAGTAAGAAGCCTCCGAAGACGTATATCATTCACACCCGCTACCAGAATACCAAACAAGCCCCTTATAAATGGTGACAGCGGTGCTCACAGCAGTTGTGTTTGCCTGGAGAGAGGGAGGAAGAGGTATGAAGTCATCTTCACTTCATCACCCTACACAAGAAGCATCCGT